TCAGGGGAGAGGTGTAGGTGGGTCCAGTGGCCCTGACCACTGTGGTTGAAAGGGTGGGGGTCACTGAACTTGTGTCTGAGTTTTTAGAGGGGACCACTTCGCTGGATGGGCTTATATGGCTAAGAGAAGTTTCTGTTGGAGAGGGGGTGGACAGTGTGGAGCCTAGAGAGGGCAGCGGCATCCTGAGACCAGTGGTCGTGTGAAACCCCCCTGTGAGGGTGTTTGAACTGTGCGGAGCGGCTGAGGTCACCGTGTTGGCCGTGTGCCGTGTGTTGATGGTGGTTCCATGTGGTTTGATGGAGGAGGCTGTGTTTTCTGTCCCGAGACTGGATGTGGCTGCTGTGGAGGGTTCTGTGTCATCGGCTTCTTGCTGTGGCGATGTTGTTCTGAGAGCACCCGGTGGCTGTGTGCTGCTGGTCCCAGGACTCCTGGTCGTTCTGAGCATTCCCTGGGGGGTTGGTGTCTCTGTGGATCAGGACAGGTGTCACCATTCAGTCCTCAACCCCAGCCTCCTGCTCTGTCTGGGGGCATGTCCCTGAGGGCTCGCTGGTGGGTGTTTGTGTTCGGTTTGTGTGACCCTGAGCACCTTTCCTGGTCACCTGTCTCTTTCTCTGGACCTCTGTGTTGGCTTGGAGGTGTGGTCCGTGTGTCCCCGTGGGTCTGCCGTCCTAAATGTGGCCCTCCTGTACCTTTTCGCAGTTCCCATGTCTGTGGGCGTCTTTCTGGCTCTGCCCCCTCCTCTCTGCCTCTGTCCTCTGTCCCCTTGGGCTCGCTGTCCCTTGTTCTTGGACTTGCCTTTCTGCTCTCTCAGGGTGTGGCCCACCTGTGGCACCCTGTGACACGTGTGGCTGTGGGCAGCTGACCTCCCGGCCACCACTCACCTGGGCTGGGAAGTGTTCCTGGTCTTGAGCTTGGTGGGGCCTCCGTGGTTCTGGCTGTTGACTGAGCTGTGGACTTTGTGCCTTGGCTCTCGGGAGCTGCTGTGGCCTGTGTTATGGCTTCCGTCACCGTCAGTCCTGTGGGTGTCGACCTCCGTGTGGCTGTGAGGTCAGAGGTGGCTGCTGTCATTGGAGGTGATTTTGCCTAGCACTGCCACCCAGAGTGTCATCTGGTGTTCCCACCTGCATCTCATAGGCTTGTGCCTGAGTCCCTGCCCCTGTCCCTTGTGGAGTCTCCTTGGAGGAGCCCTGGCCTCTTGCCTCCCCCAGCCTTGCTCTTATGTCTTCCATCTCACTTCTGGAAATGATGGCCTCGTGGCAGTGGCCATAGGTCATGGGGGCTCTCTCTCTGCCTACTTTTGGTCAGCTGGGTGGACTAACGCTCTGTCCCCTCATAGTCCCAGGCAGCAGGAGGTCTGCTGTGTGTGGAGAGGTGGGACGCAGATGATACCCCTCCCCACACCCGCCAGACACTCCAGTGTCCCCTCCATGTTACCGCCTGAGGAGAGTGCCGATGGCATCCGTGTGGTCAAGAGTGTCCAGTCCTCAGTGGAGGCAGGGGTTGAGGGTTGGGCAGTGGGGTACGTAGCTATGGGTAGGGAGCTAGGCCCAGGGCTGGTGGTCCTGGAGGCCCCTGTGCTGGGCTGGACTTCTGTGGGTGGTGCACCTGCGTGGGGCAGACCTGCCCTCATGCACAGGCAGGGGCAGACCTGCACCCCCTTGAGTCTCGCCTTTTCCTGCCACCCAGCCCCATGGCCCCTGGGCTGGAGGGATGGAGTGTCAGGCCCAGGGGACGGCTGAGCCTCTGATGGCAGCATGGGCTCCGGGTGGGTCTTTTTGGGTGACTTACTGTTGAGTCCCTGCCTCATGCTCAGTGGCCGGTCCAGCAAGGGCTGAGTGGGCAGGACTATGGAGGTAAATTTTGCCCGCCCTCCCCCTGGGGACCTGGGGTTCACACTCGTGTTCCCTGCCCCCTCCCCTGCTGGGCTAGTGTGTGGGCTCTCTGTTGGAGCCAGAAAGTCCCAGCCAGCACGCCACACCCTGTGGCAGCCAGTGAGCGCAGTCACCTGTGGTCGGCAGCAGCGGCAGGGTGGTGTTGGATGGCACTGTAAGAGGAGGGTGGTCAGATGCCACTGCCCGTGTGGCCCCCAGTCCTCGCCCAGGGGTTCCTTGAGCAGGGCCAGGCAGAGTTGTGTGCTCTTGGTGGCAGGGGCAGGGGAATGCAACCCCGGGCAGGGCGCTGAGCGGCCCGTCTCCTCCCGCCCTCCCTCCCTCTGCTCAGCGGGCTTGGAGAAGCAAGCTGTTCGGCTGCTGGGGCCCAGTGGTATCTCTTGCTGAATGAATTAGATTCCCAGGAAGATTCCCACTGGGCTCCCCAATACCCTGTCAGGCCTGGGGGCTCTGCTCTGAGCTGGAGCTGGGTGAGGACGTCGTCTGTGGAGGAGACGGGGCCAGAGGCGTCTCGTGCTGTCCCTGTCTCTGCTGACTACAGCCACACTGCCTGTCTGTGGGAGTCTCAATACCTCAAGGGGCAGGGCCCTGAGGAGTGGGTGCTGGGGCTGGACAGCAGCTTGTGAGGGGCCTGGAGCACCAGGGCATCCCACATCTGTGGCCGGCAGACACACTGCCTGCCTGCGGCTGGACTTACTGCAGGGCACACAGGTCCCCGTGCGGTGGTCGAAGTACTCATCCTGGGAGCAGTTGTAGCAGCCTAGGGCAAAGAAGGGCCAGGCTCAGCACCAGCTGGCACCCAGCTCCCTGCCACCAGCAGGGTCCCCTGTGGCTCGACCCCTGCCTTCCTCTCACTTCACTCCCAGCTCGGAAACCCCCTTCCTGGGTACCAGGGCTCTGTCCTGGTGGCCACCTCGCTCTGGCCCTGGCCGAACTGGCTCCCCTCCTGTCCCCTTCCCCTCCTGTCCCCTTCCCCTCCTGGGCTCTTCCCCTCTTGTCCCCTACCAGGCTGTGCCTGAGTGTCTTACTTCCTGGCCTGGTTTTCACGACACTCTGGCCAGAGTGGATGTCAGAGCAGTTTGTTTTCTGTGAGGCCCTGTCCCTAATCCCGCTCTGGGCCTGGGCATTGCTGAGTGAGCGTGTGTGTGGTGAATCCGTGACTGTGAGCAGGAGTGCGTGAAAGGCCAGGTGGAAGGGAGGAGACTGTGGGTGAAGGAGGCTGTGGGTGCCTGAAGGTGCGGTTTGGTGTGCGAGTGGGTGTGTGAGTATGAGCGTGCAAATAATTGTGTGTGTGTGTGTCAGTGATGAGTGCACACATGAGGAAACAAGGTGCCTGTGCCCCCACCTTCGACATTCGTGTCTGGGAAGCTGTCCAGGCGGCCAGGGCAGAGGCAGGGCTGGTAGTGCCACGTGCAGTTGGCCTCCTGCGTGTACTGGAACTTGCCGTCGCCCACCTGCGAGTGGGTGTTGTAGAAGTCGCAGTAGATGGCTGGAGGAAAGGCAGTGGTCAGGCCACGTGGGAGGTCTGGGTTCGGGCCGGGCATGGCCCTGCAGGACTCAGGGCTACTGGGGGTGGGGCAGGGCACTCACGGCAGAAGTCTGGGGCCCTCCAGTCCACGCACACGCCCTTGTCCAGGCAGGCCTTGGCGTAGGCGGCCACTGCGTCACACAGGCACTCACAGTCCCCACCCTTGTCGCACAGGCAGGCGTCCCGCACGCAGGCCTCGTAGTAGGGCATGCGGTAGACCTGCAGGGCCAGGGCCAGGCCTGTCTGTGCCGCTGCAGACCCGTGCTCAGCCACCCTGCCCTGCAGGCCTGCCCAGGTCAGTGCTGCAGAGGCTCGGCTGAGGCCACGAGGGAGGATTCTGATGGGCACTCCTGCTCCCAGAGACCGCCCCTGGGCCAGGGTCCCCCCGACCTGCCCCGTCCCCCTGGGCCAGGGTCCCCCGACCTGCCCCGTGCCTGTGCTCTTGGCTTAGCATCTGCAGCCCTGAGCTCCTGGCCTCAGCAACTTTTCGCTGGCCCCTGGGCCATGAGGACCCTCCTTTCTGTGCTTGCTAAGCCTGAGAACCCGAGTGTCCGGGTCCTGACCCTGGGCAGCCCCAGGTCTCCTCCCCTGACCAGGCTGCAGAGCGGGCTTTCCACCTGAATTCTGCTGACACTGTCGGAGGCCACCACCCTCTTCTGGAGGGCAGAGGCCTGGGGTGCTGCTAAGCACCCTGTAGCAGTCGGACCTCAGTGCAGGGCTCCTGTCTTGGATGGTGGGTTCTGCCCTCTCCATGTCCACCCCCCAACTGTGGGAGGACTTTGGCTTCTCCACTCTGGGCCAGGGTGGGTCATGAGCCCTGGGCGCTGAGGGCTGTGCCCAAGGGCCCACCTTGCTGTGGCAGGCTGTGAAGGTCTGGCTGTGGATGATGCTGCACTTGCGCTCTGCCCAGGGGCGGCGGAAGGGGTTGAGGCTGCAGGGGTCTTCTGCGTAGCTCGCATCGCTGCACAGCGGGCTCTCTTTCCATGAGTTCACGAATTCCAACTCGTTGGACGCCACGTACTTGCTGCGTGTCTCAAAGTCATCCTTCATGTTCCCGTTGCAGTTGCCACACAAGCCACAGAGGGCGTCCTGCGGGACTCTGTGTCAGGCAGGGAGCGTGCGGCCTTCCTGATCCACCCCACCCTGAGACCACAGGGCTCTGGCTGGACCAGGGTTGTGTCTGGCCAGCGTGGCAGGTACCTGGGAGGCGCGATGGACCCTGATGGAGACGCTCATGTGCTTGTTCCAGACCAGCGTCATGTTGAGCCGGTTGGGGATATCTACGTCCAGAACCAGGTTCAAGGAGCTGGGCTTCACCAGCACGTGCACCTGGGAGTTCTCCCCGCTGATGGAGTAGTTTCTGTCTGCCATCGTGATAGTCAGGCCCTGTGGAGACAGGGCTGTCACTGGCTGCCTGCTGGTTGGCCTCCGTGGTACCTGGGGCTGCCCCAGGACTGAGTGTATAAGGCAAGGCTGACCAAGTCCATCAAGGACTTGGGCAGGGGCACCTGCTGGGAGTCAGCCCCAGGCAGAAGGTTCCAGTGAGTATGGGAACAGGCTGGGACCCCCCATCTGCCCAGGTGATTCCCTGGAAGGAGGTGGTGGTCATCAGCCACTAGTGCAGAACATCAAGATGCCCACTTGGTGAATGGTTTCTGGGGGCAATGGGCACGCCCTCCTCCCTCCCTGTCATGCAGGTGAGGAGGGGGTGGGGAGGGGGGGCTGCACAACAAAGATGGGACCCGAGGGTCCTGGACAGGAGGGCCTAGCTGTGTGATGGGCCCAGCCTCCTCCTGCCCTATGGGGGTCCCGCCGCTCACGCCCAGGAGGATCTGGATGGCTCGGGAGCAGGTTGCCCCTGACTTCCCGCAGACGACATTCTCCACCAGGATCTTGAAGCTGGGCTGGGAGTTGGCACCACAGTCATCCTGCAGGGATGAGGGTGCTGAGCAGGAGCCCTGGGTGCCCGGCCCAGCCCAGTCCCTGTCGCCTGGCTCCTGGGGTCCTGGCAATTACCGTGGCCAGAGTGTACTTGCAGTTGCCATTAAAGACGAAGCGCTGCCCATCGAAAGTGATTATGTGGCCCTCCCCGTAGAGAGTGCAGGTAGATGGGCAATGGGCACTCTGCTGGCAGGTCCACTTCCCCTGTGAGCAGGTGCTGTGGAGAGGGCAGGGTGGGGTGCTGAGGCAGCTCTCTTCCCACATGTGGTGAGGTCCCTGGGGTTCTTGGAGGCCTCGGGCACCCTGCCTCTGGGGACCTCAGCTCTGGGCATCCCATTCCTGGACACTCCACCCCTGGGTCCCCCACCCTGGGTGCCCCTTGTCTGTCCAGATGGTCCCAGGGACCTGGGCTTCAAGGGTGAGCTGTGGCTTACCAGTTCTTGCAGTCGGTGCGGAGCACAGCACCCCCGGGGTAGGAGACCCCCGCAAAGTCACAGGGGCACTGCCCGGGGAGCACACACTGCCCACTGGTATCCTCGTAGAACCCCTCAGGACAGACGCAGCCAGGCTCACACTTAGTGGGCACCTGGAGGGGGCTGGGTCAGCATCGCCTGGAGGGCAGCCCCAGCCTGCCGCCCCAGCCCTGTCCTTCTTCCCAGGCACTTCAGTGAATCCTGCGGGGTTCTTGGTAGAGCCACCTCTCTAAGGGAAGGTTCCATGCTGCCTGCCTGAGGCTGCCCTGGCCCGGGGCCTGAGCGCCCGGTGCCCCAGCCTGGCCCTGCCCTCACAGAGCCCTGCAGGTGAGCATGCTCATCCAGCTGCTTGGCCACAGAGTTACTCTTGACCCCTGACCCACAGCCCACACTTGCAGTTGGGACAGACAGAGATAGAGACAGAGGGGTAAGGGCAGAGCAGCCTCCTGGGCCTGTGACCACCCTCTCCAGGCCCCTGAGCTGCTTCTCACTGCCACTTACACAGGTGATGCCGGTGGCCAGCATCTGGCACGTGGGGGCACATGCGGCCCCAAACTTGTCCTCTGAGGACTGGCTGCAGGACTGGAATGTCTTGGGGGCTGGGCAGGAAGCTGCAGGAGTGGAGAGTGGGGTTAGGGTCTCAGAGGAGGGAGGCCAGGGGTGCCTCTGGGTCCCCCGTTGGGTGGCTTCTCCTCTGTACGTACCCAAGAACACCTGCGATTGCCCTGGGCAGCTCAGCCGTCCATTGATGCAGTGGCTATAAGAAAGAGGCTGCATGAGGCTGCGTGGGCCTGCGCCCCATGCCCCACACCCCCAGGCCCAATCCGTACCAGATGATGCCGTTGACCATGGTGGACTGGCCGGCCAGGATGAACTTGTGACTCTCCAGCAGGCAGGGGCACTGGGCCTTGCGCACACACTCATTCCTGTGGTCCAGGTAGGTGCCGTCAGGGCAGTTACAGCCATCCACGGGCACTGCGCTGGGGTGGCACTCCACCTCGCGGTTGGACAGGGATAGGCAGGTGTGGTCACAGGCCTGGCTCTGCTGGCTGAAGGTGCGGTTGCCGGTGCAAGGGATGGCTGCAGGGAGCTGGGGTCAGGCCCTCCGCATGGCAGCTGGGGCCTGTGGTCTGGGCCGTGCTGCCCACTGGCCAGGGGGGCGGCCAGGCAGAAGCGGCCTGGGACTCCATGTCCTAGCCACCCCCGACTCCACCCCCTGGCCTGCTGCACTCACTGCAGTTGTCCACGCTGTCCCTCCAGTCCCCGAGCAGCACGGCCTGGGAGGAGCAGGCGTGCACGTACGCGCCCAGGGCTGCGCAGATGTGCGGGAAGGTCTCCTCATAGTTGCAGGCCTGGTACACGCACCTCTGCGGGAAGAGCCAGCCGTGGCGGGCCATGGCACCTCCTCTCCCTGGCCATGGCCCCAGGTGCCCAGGACTGTGTTGCCTCCCCAGGTGCCTGTAGGCCCACCTTGTAGAAAGGCTTGGGGTCCAGCACAGCGTGGCACTTCTCGAACACACCATCCTTCTTTAGCAGCACCGAGCAGTGAGTCTCTGCGTACATCTCTAGGACGACAGACTGGCCGTGGGTCCTGTGTCCCCTCCCCAGCCCCAGGCCTGGGAGGTAGGGCAGGTGGACTCACTGTTGAGCTGGCTCATGGAGCAGGGGTCAATCTCCCGTTCCAGGGCAGCCGGGCAGTTCCCTGCCCGCCAGGAGTCCACGAAGAGCGCAGCTGTGCCCTCGTCAATGCCTGCGCTGCTTGTGAACTCATCGGTCGTGTTCCCGTTGAAGTTGCCACAGAGCCCTACGCGGCAGACCGTGAGGGCCAAGCCCCACCTGCCCTTCCTGTGCCCCCTTGCACCCCAGCAGTGTCCTGCTGTGCCCCCATGACAGGCTACTGGCCTCAGGTGGCCACACTCCTGTGGGCTCCCTGCATGTGCAGGGCCAGTGCCAGCCTCTCGTGTGTCCTTCCCCACCTGGCCAAGGCAGGGGTGGGGGCTCACCTCTGGTCTGGCCTCTGAATTGCGGCCCGAGGGTGATGTACACCTGGAAGACGGGCTGACGCTGGACCACGATCTCTAGCCCGAAGGTGGTGGCCATCTGGAGGTGGGTAGACGTCTGTCTGAAGATGGTGATGTTGCCTGCAAGGGCAGGTGCTCAGCAGGCTGTCAGGCCTGCCCCCAGAGGCGTGGCCCAGGAGGCCCTGGAGTTGGGCAGGGACATACGGGTCTGGTAGGGGAGCCACTTGGTGTCTCCATTGTTGGTCACCTCATCCTCGGAGATTACAATCTTGTCCTGGAGGGAGGGCAGCCTGCATCAGGGAGGGCTGAGAGCAGGCAAGAGCTGGGCCCACCTCTGTTTGTGGGGGTAGCCATACCTGCCCGGACAGGTAGATGATGGCGACCAGCGACGTCTCTGAGTGTGAGTAGCCCGACTTGTCATACACGGCCATGAGCGTGCCCTCGTTGGGAAGCTGGGGGCTCTGTGGGGGGCCAGGTTGCTCAGGGGTGGAGGGACCACACCTTCCCCACCAGCCCTGAAGCCCGTCCTACCTGGAGGAGGATGTAGGTGCAGGTGCCGTGGAAGCGGTAGGGCCTGGCATCGAATGTGGTAACGAAGGAGCCGCCTTCCAGAGAGCAGTGGCCCGGGCACGGCTGCCCTGTGCACGTCCAGTGGCCCATGGTGCACTGGCTGCGGGGCCACAGGGGGTGACCCTGTCAGTGGCCTTCCTCCCCTGTGTTCCAGGCCAGCAGGGGCCCTCCCCAGTACTCACCAGCTTTGGCAGGCAGCCCTCACGACCTCCCCAGGGCTGTAGGCGACTCCGTTGAGCAGGCAGGGGCACTGGCTGACCGGCACACAGGTGTGGTTGTTGGAGAGGTCATTGAGTACCATTCCTGCCAGAAAGTGGCTTCTTGGGCTTGGGTGGGACTGACCTCATCCCACCCTCCCGCTGGATGCTCCCTCCCTGGCCGTCCTGCGCAGGCCTTGCTGGTCCTTACCAAGGTGCAGGCCCAGGTGAGGGGCAGGCCTGGCGAGTCTCGGATGCATAACTGCCTCAGGCCCACCTGAAAGCCCAACTATCCGCAGCAGTTCTGGGACCCCCTGACCCCCACCCCTGGGCCGCACTCACGCCTGTGGGTTTGCAAGTGTGGGTTCCTAGGTCCGTAGGAGCTGTGAGGTCTGGGGCTGGGCAGAGGGGCCCTGGGATTGGGGCTCCAACTGCAGAAAGTCTGTGCTCAAGTCAGGCAGGGTGTGTTGTCCCTTCTCAGGGCTCATCTCCAAGTGTCGGGGACAGTGGGAGCCAGCACCTGCCTCACCTTTGGGGCAGAAGCAGCCAAAGGTGCAGGGGCTGGAGCAGCTGTGCTGTGGGTTAGAGCAGGTCCTGATGCAGGCCGTGCCACACTCCTGATACACCTGGTTGGCTGGGCACTGGCCCACGGCTAGGAGGCACAGGGTCTGTGAGAGGCCTCACCCCAGCCAGCAGCCCAGACCCCACCCAGGAGGGGGCCTTCCTGTGGCTCCCCCAGCCCCGCCCCATCCTGCCGGGACTCACAGCAGAGGCCGGGGCCCCGCCAGTTGCTGACAGGCCTGTGTGCCATGCTGCACCGGCGGGAGTACTCTGACAGAGTGGCACAGCTGCAGTTCTGCTGGCCCGGCTGGGCACATGTAGCCATGTCCACCTGGCAGCTCAGCACCAAGGGCTTCTTGGGCACATCGCACTCAGGGGACACCTGGGTCAGCAGCTCGGTGCAGATCCCGACCTGGGCAGCAGACCACTCAGGGTCACACAGGCCAGGGCACCTCCCACACCATGCCTGGGGCTTGGAAGGTGGGATTGTTGGCTCCAAGACCCCCATCAGACCCCTTGAGGGTTGGCTTCAGCATGGCCCCAGGGCCTGGCCACCCCACATACATGTGTGGCCTGCAGGACGGGGGGCCTGGGGATGGCCTCAAAGGTGCAGATCTCGTTGGGGTCATCCAGCTTCTGGAGTGCAGCGTACTTGTAGGGCTCCAGGAGTGTGCCTAGGGCATGGGGTGGGGGTCAACACCTGGGGGTCTAGCCAAGTGGGCTTGGGTCCCCACAGCCCTGCCTGCCCCTCCCCACCTACCATCCTCGCTCAGAAACTCATTGTCCGTCTTCCCGTCGAAGTTCCCACACAGCCCACACATCTGGCCCATGTACTTCCTCTCCACCAGAACCTGCAGGGTGGGTGCTGCTGGGCCCCATGGGGTGCAGGAGGGGCTTCTGCCCAGCCGGCCGGGCCACTCACTCCTGCTCCCCGGGCCCCCACCATCCCCACACCTTGTTCCCCCTCGGGGGTTCTACCTCTTGCTGGATCCTCCTTATTTTTAAGTGGGGAAACAGCTACCAAGAAAACCTAGATCCAGTCCAGGTTACTGGCCAGGGGTCAGTGTGCCTGGCAGAAAGGGCCTGGCTGTACTGCCAATTAGGGTCAGAGCAGGTTGAGACCCCTGCCCAAGGAGGGCAGCTCCTCCTGAGACCTGTACCTTGGGCCTGTGTGCCCCTGCCCAGGCCCCCAGTCCTCACCATGAGGTGGGCGTCTGGGCCCCACATGACCACCAGCTCTAGCTCCACCTGCTTGGTCACCAGCTGCACACTCTGGCCGTAGGGTGTGATTTGGAGCCCCTGGCTGGTGTAGGGCAGGCTGACCACCCTGTGGATGAGAGCAGTCAGTGTCTGCCCCAACTGCCCGGGTGGCCCCATGGCTCACCTGACATCCTTGGGGCCAGGATCCCCAGCCCCTGACTACCTGGCTTAGCCCCTTGGCTCACCCGATGTCCTTGATGGAGACCGTCGTCTTATTCACGGTGACGACGGAGGACCCTAGCTCCACAATGATCCGAGAGATGTTCCCGTCCGCCCCTCGCCGCAGCTGGATGCTGAAGGTAGGTGAGGCACCCTTGCAGCTGGCCGCAAAGATGTAGTTGCAGGTCCCCAGGAAGTCGTAGGCGTGGTGGTCAAAGGTGGAGAAGTGGCCAGCCCCCCATAAGGAACACCAGCCCTTTTCCAGGGCTGCAGAGAGAAGGGCAATTTGCAGCTCATGGCCCCACTGAGGACCCTGGGAGCCCACACGGGGAGGGGTGTAGCTTTCTGGGTGTGTTGGAAGCCTCCCCCCACACCGTGGACACTGTCTCCCAGGCTGCTGGCCTGGGGCTGGGCTCCACCCCCCGTCCCGGGCCTTACTGGACTGTAGGCTTCCCTCAGCATTGGGGTCAGTGGTATTTCCAGTCGTGGGGTCTGTAAGACAGGAGGCCGCTGCTCAGCTCCCCCTGCAGTGGGCTCACCCAGGGGGTCTTGGCAGGGGGAGGCTGCGGGGGGTGGTGCAGCTGCCCAGGGCATCAGCCTTGGCTCCAGACTGAGCCGTGGCTCTTCTGAGGCTTGGGGCTTTTCTGGGAGCCCCAGGCGAGGGCGTGCAGTGGCCTGGGCCCTGTCACACAGGCTGTGCTCTGGTGAGCCTGCCTGTGTGGTACATGAGTGAAGCCTGCACTCTGGGCAGAGGCCTGGTAGCAAAGGAAGCAGTGTCCAGACCTGTGCCCTGTGGTCAGTGCCAGCCCCCACGCCAGCCCTGTTGGCTGTGCCCAGCACTGTCCTCCCAGGACCCAGGGAGCACTCAGCTTGTGGGCAGCACAGCAGCCCTGAGGAGGATGGGGTGGGGGATGCCAGCCTGAGCCTGGCTTCTGGGTGGCCTGCACCAGTCCTGTCCCTTCCTGCTGTCCTCTCCTCTCAGTTCATCTCTGCAGTGTTAGCTCAACTTGTCTTCATGGAGCCCCTGTTCTGGGCCCATGACCCAGCCAGGGGCACAGGGCAGGAGTGCTCCCATGGACCAGTCCTGGGCAGGAGATTGCTCATGCGTGCACACAGTGCCGCAGAAGCTGCCGGCCACCATGAGCAGATGGAAGGGTGGCCAGCCTGTGCTGGGTGGGGAGAGGCTACCACCACTGGGGAAGGGTGACCTTCTGAGGAGGTGACCTCTGAGCAGAGCTGGGTGCTCTGGTGCCCAGTGACTCCTGGGGGGACTCTCTGTCTTGTGGGAGGCAGAAGTGGAGCAGCCAGCAGGGCAGCCCTGGGCAACCAGTTCTGGGCCTCAGGGCAGAGCAGCCCCCAGGCATGGCTCTCTGGCATCCTCTGGCCAGGACACTTGCTGGCCTGTCTGCCAGGCTTCCCTCACCACTTGCTGCCCAGACAAGTTGGGCCCCTTCTGTGTGTCTGCAGACAGAGAGAACAGGACACAGAGATTTCTGGGCAGCTGGGGTGGGGTGGCCGCTGGAGCTGGTGGGCGAGGCCAGGAGGGTGGGCATGGGGTGTTCTGGGAAGCAGGTGATGAGGGTGGAGATAGAGCGGGTTGTCCCCTGAACCCTCTGCCTGGCTACATCCTGCTGTTCCTAGCACGACTCCTGGTGTCCCTGTGGGGAGCCACATCCAGCTCTGTGAACCGCCCAGGGGCTGATCGAGGGCCAAGTCTGCCCTCCTGGGGCTCTGAGCTCATCCGTCTTCCTGACTCTTTCCTGCCTGGCAGCCTCCAAGACAGCCCCCTGGGTTGATCCTGGACTGGCAACTGTGACCAGGGAGATGCCCAAATAGCATGGGTCATGGTGACCACGGAGTAGGGAAGCTGGGAAGATGGCCAGCCTATCTCCTGCAGGCTGTGAGGGTGCCCTCCCTGTGGGTTTGCCTCCTGGCTCCCAACCCCTTTCCTCCCTCATCAAGGGGCAGGTTGACGCACATTCTTCCCTCCTCCCCCACCCCGCACCTTGGGGACCTGGCCCTCCTGTGGCTCCCTTGGGCCATGGCAGTATCTAAATGCCGGCTGGGCAGTCCAGGTGCTCCTGGGCCTGACCCTGCCTTGGCTCCCCCCTGCTGAGTAGCTGGGTGCACACAGTGCATCCCTGAGACAGCTCAGGGGGGTTCCCTTCTTCCCACTCCCCACCTGGAGCCCTACCCCAGGTTCTGCCAAGCTCTGGGAGGTGACATGGCCCCTCCCATTGCTGCTAGTCACCTCCAGAGTGTGTGCATCTCTGGCATCCCCGGGAGCTGAGCTGGGTGGCTGAGGGTGGTGTGGCTGAGGCTTGAGCAGAGGCACCTAGCCACAGAGGCTGTCTGGCCCTAGGGACTGAGCCTCAGCCTGGGGGAGTCCTCTGGCTGGCAGGAGCGCAGGTTTGAGTGCCTGGAGAGTGGACAGGCTGGGCGCGTGTGGGCCCACTCACGCTGGCCCGGCCCTGAAGGTGGTTTTCGGCTGCAGTAGCATGTGCCTGCCTTCGCCTGTGGGTCTGAGGCTCATGCTGGGATCAGGCTGGTGCCCACTCCTCACCCATCCCCGCCCTAGGTCCTGGTCTTCCCTTCCAGGGTGCCCCAGGGACAGCACCTCTTGAAGGTAGGGGACCTTGGTCGGTGTGCACTGGGCAAAACCCTCTGTGACTCAGTCCTCTACCTTTCAGATGGACGGTGACGTCTGGGTCCACCCTAACCTTGTATGGTGCCAATGGCAAAGGCTCAGTTCTCACCTCCTCTTTGCCCGAGACCTGTATCTGGCTCCATGGCCCCCAGCCTCTCATTGTTATGTCTGCCAGGTCCCTGTCCCTATCTGTGGGTGGCTCCGCTCCCCTGCCAAGCCCCTCCTTTCACCAGGCGCCAGCCTCACTGAGCCTCTGTCTCTGACGACCTGGCGCTGACCCCAGAGGTCCCTTGGAAGAAACTCAGGAGGCCGTCGGTGCTGTGGACTCTCCTTCCAGGGACTTTCTGTGCTTCCTGCCGACTGACCCGACGCCAGGCCCCAAGGCATGTGGGGTGGCTGGTCTGCCACCCCCAGGCTTTCTCAGCCCTGGGCAGGTCACGGGGCGGCAGGAGCACTCACTGTTCCTGTGCACGCGTGGTGGCCCCGCCTGCCACCCCTGCCTGGCCTGGGCTAACTGGCTGACTCACAGGCCTCCCTCAGCCCCAGGTCCCATGACCTGCTGTCTGACCTCATGCTCTGCCCACTGGGGGGGCTCCCCAGCCCAGCCCTCCCCTCCTAGACCCCATCTGGGCTCTTCCACCCCACACCTTCTCCTGCCAGGTGTGCTGGGTGAGGGGGGCAGGGGTCCCAGACGACCTGACTGGAGCCCTGGCCCCTCACTGTGGGGCTCAGCACTGCCCCTGGCATGACAGATGAGGCCTGGTCAGTGGGGATGGGGCTCCTGGGAGCAGGGAGTCACACTGACCAGTGCTTTGGCCCCAGGCTGGGCACAGCCCCAAGGGTGCCCTCTGTCTAGCTGTTGTCCACCCCCAGCAGGCTCCCAGCTGCTGCTGAAGGGCAGTGGTCGAGTCAGGCAGTGGACAGGCAGCTCCCCACATGTACAAAAGGGGAAACCGAGGCAGGGGCCCATTCTGCGGTCCGTCCTGTTCTCCTGGCCATGAGCCTCCCTGATGGAGGGACTTGTGTCCCTGCCCTCCACACCTGCTGGCTACCCTCAGGCCCCAGAGACCAGGGCTGAGTTGAGAGCGGGAGGGTGACAGACTGACCTGTCTGGAGCTGCTGTGTTTCAGGTCCCACATTCCTGGAGGGGCTGTGCCCAAGGGACCCCTGTCCTGTTCCTGCACCCTCCCTGGCCATTGTGCCCAGCTCCCCAGGAGGTGGACAGAACCCAGTGGCATGTGGGCCCGTGGGGAGGCAGCACCTGCAGACCTGGCTCCTCCTGCTCCCATTTATCAGCACCTGCAGGTCAGTCCACCTCGGCAGAGTCAGCCAGGCAAGAGGACCTGGGAACTCGCCCACGTGTAGGGCCCGTGGGGCGCCGGCCCTCTGGCGGGTCTGCCTGCCCCCACTCACCTGTGCTGAGCAGGGCTCCCCCGTGGGGCAGCAGCAGCAGCAGCCAGAGCCCCAGCATGGTGTCGCCGCTGGAGAGGAACTGCTGGCCGGGCACCTCTGCTGGGCTCCCAGCCGTCCTGCCACTGCCAGCGCTGCACCTGAGTGCCAGTCCCACATGCTTTATGTAGGGGTGGTGGCCCTGCCCCTGTTGCGCCACCGGTGCCCCACACTCTGCCGTAATTGCCACTGCTGACCGGGCACACAGTGGCCAAACAGGATCTCAGCCTCCACTTTATCAGCACCTGACCTTTCTTGGAAAATTCTGCAGCGGCCGGCCGCAGCCCGTTATCGCCCACTCCCCGGGGGAGGGGACACACCCTCCAGGGTCCTGCAGACACCTCCGTCCCAGGGGCCTCCCCACTGGGTCTCTGTCTGCCCTGTCAGGGAGCACAGGGTGCTGGGTAGCTCTGGGTGAGCCCTAACCTCCACTGGGTCCCCATACCCAGAGAGTTGCCCAGGTGCTGGGCCCGCACCCCTGAGTTTCCCTCCTGTGGGGCCAGGCCTGAGGGGCTGCCCAGGGGAGTCGCTGGACACCTCTTCTCACGTGGCCTCCTCTGAGGGGTGGGGGTGGGGGAACCCCAGGACAGGTCACCTCCTGCGAGGTGATCCCCCAGATCTGAGCAGCTCGGCTGTCAGGGGCCACCCAACTCAGGAGCAGGACGAGGAGTCTCTTCATCCCAGAGCCCCTCCATGGGGATGAATGGTGGGCACTGGTGGACCCCCTCAGAGAGCTGCCCAACCCACTGGAAGGAAGGGTGGGCTTCTGGGACAACATCTGGAGGCGGGGCAGATAGCGGCATGTGCCAGTGCCACAAAAGGTCAGGGCAATGGTGAGGTTGAAGGCCAGGGTGAGGGCAGGGCTGGGGTCCTCCCTGGGGCCCTCTTGCTGCTTAGGAGGGGATTCGGGCTCTAACCAGTCACTCCTGCGGTTGCCCAGCTCTGTGGGGAGCCAGGGATCAGGTGCCTCCTCTCCTGGGGAAGGGTCTTGTGTCCTATCCTCTAGGACCCTCCAGCAGCTCCCACTGCAGGTTTGATGTCCCTGCCCAGCACTGCCTCAGCCTGACCTCCCCAGATGGGACAGCACCTCATCTCACAGGAGCTGAGTCCCCTGGCCTGGACCCGGGGCCTCCCCCCAACCCCCAAGGGGCATGCCCTGGAGTGCAGCCCCCGCGCCCACCCCCCGCCCTGGAGGGGACATGCAGCACTGAGACGGAAGCAGTGGGTGTCATGTGCTCACCTTAACAAACTGCAGCTTGGAAGGGACTCTGTCCGACTGCAGTGTAGCCCAGTGGTAGGTGTGTGCTTGGCATGTCCAAGGCCGTGGATCTGATTCTCAGCACACACACAACCAAAAAGCAAAAAAAGAGAACATTGCTTTCATATAAAATCACTCTTAGGTGTTCAGGCTGGTGGTGGAAGTTCTCTCTGGACTCTGCTTCTGAGTTTCCTCTTCTGGGTTATTTCTTCATTTCTTTTTCTTTCCTTTTGGTATTAGGAGTTGAACCCAGGAGTGCTCAACCACAGAGCTGCATCCCCAGTCCTTTTGATATTTTCTTTTGAGATGGTGAGGGTCTTGCTAAGTTGCCCAGGCTGGCCTTGAACTTGGAATTCTCCTGCCTCAGCCTCCCAAGTCACTGAGATGACAGGCTGTACCACTCTGCCTGGCTCAGGGGTTCCTCCATGCTCAGCCAACCTGTTCAGGTGGGAAACTGAGGGTAAGGAGTAAAACTTTTGCCCAGTTGTGCTGAGCAGCTGCATAGCGTGGGGGACCTGCCCTTGCCTGAGCTGTGGGTGGGCTGGGGTCTTGGGCTGGTCACTGCATCAGGGCAGCCAGCATGGAAAGGGCATTTGACTGGAGGGCATGTCTGCGGGGGCTGGATGGTGTCACTGTGTGCCTGTGTCTGTGCATCTGGAAGGACACGTGTCATGTGAGGCTGTGTGTGTATGCACTGGCTTGCTTCTGCAGCTGTCTGGGGTTTCTCCTGTCTTCTCTGCCATTCAGGGCATGTGCTGAGGTGGGTGGATGGCTCTGCCCAACAGTGCTATCGTGGCCCTGGCTGAGGGCCCCTCCTGGTGCGGGCCAGGGCTTCAGGCCCCCTCCTTCCCAGCACACTTGTTTGGCAGGAAATTGCTGCTGAAAGGCGTTTTTGTCTCTTGACTTGGGAGCGCTCGAGTGCACCAAGCCCACAGCTCCGAGGCTGGACGATAAGAGTGTATGTGGCCATTGTTCCTGAGGCAATCTCAGCGATAAGACCCGGTTCCGCTGCCTGGAAAGCGGAGCATGCTGGCTATATAAGTGGGTGATTGTCCACGCTTACACCCAGCCCAGACCCCTGACTCTTATGGCCATCCATGAGCAGTGGTCACCCAGGGCCCAGGCAGGCTGTGGAGGAGGATTCGGATTGGGCCTAAGGTCCAGCGAGGCTGCCCCAGAGTCCAGGGAGAGGTGCTTGGCTCCAGCCTCCTGGCTCCACTCTGAGGTACTGCCCATTAGGCTGTGGCTCCTGGATAGCCGTGGGAGGACCTCTGCCTGGCACTGGGGCTGGGGTAAGGACATGCACATCCTCCTGGCCAAGTCCTCCAGAAGGCTCCAGCACTGGCCTGGGGCTCCAGGGAGCTGCAAACCCAGGGCTTATGGCTTCTCATTCACAGAAATGCTGGAGTGGACACATGGGTCAGCCTGCTCCTCCCATCCTGTACCTGCCCACTGGACCCTTCCTGACATTCCCTGGAGGGAGGACAGGGAAGAGCAGCCCCTGCCCCAGCCCCAGGGCTTGGCAGCTGGTCAACATCAGATCAAAGAGCTGAGAACTGGCTTTGGGGCATGTTTGGGATAGATTTTGACAGCAGAGCAGGAATTCTCTTGTGGCTGACCAGGCCCAGGACTGCGCCCAGCTGTGACCAGGAGAGCCTGTCCTGACTCCTGACCACAGGGTGTGGACCCTGGGTGGTCCCGGGTGTTTCAGGGCTTCCTGTGGATCAGGTGTGAAGCTCAGGACCGCCCGGTCCAGTCCTCAGAGGGGGACAAGGGCCACCTGGGCTGAGCATTGTGGGGTCAGGGAGTGGTAGGACTGGCCCGTGGGCACCTGCTACTTGGGGAGACGGTGGGAACCCACTGACCCTGGCCTGGAGTGGCGGAGGCGTGGGAGCTAGATCCCCAGGTCCTGCATGCAGCATGTGGTAGCCATCTGGGCCTGTTGCTCAGTGAGGTCTGGGCAGCAGTCACTGTCCCAGCAGGGACTCTCCCTCCTTCTCTGCCCCCCCAAGTGTCGCAGGTAACGCCCCCACTACAGGTGCAGCCCGGCTGTCCCAGTGTGCCTCCTGAACACGGTGAGCCCTGCACCTCTGTCCGCATTCGTCCTGCAGCTACTGTGGCTCCAGCTGCCGGATCCTGCTGGAGCCCCAGCCCTTGTGCCTTCTCCCACCCTGGTATGCCCGAGGTCCTGTCCACTTCCTGGCCTCTGGCTCTCACCCCTGACAGCAACTGACCCTGCCTCTTCCGAGGCCCTTGCAGAGCCTCCCCCCCCCCCCCAATGATAATGGAACCAGCAGGCTCCAAGCTCAGCCCTGGGCTCCGGCCTGGGGAGGGGCGTGCGGCCCTGGGAAGGGTCTCCAGGCTCCCCCGAAGGCCCTCTGCAGCTGCCTGTCTGTGGTGCTCCCGGGGCCTTCCCTAGTGCACATGTTGGCCTTGGCCCCTGGGTACCTGGGCTGGGCTGGGGGTGATGTGCCCTCCCCCTGGTCTTGGGCCCCGGCTGGATGGAATGTGCCCCTAGGTCTACTGTGGGGCTCACTGCCCCTCCTGGCCAGGCCCTGTGGTCCTTTTTGTCCACTGGTAACGGTGCTGGGGCCTGGGAAACCACAGCCAATAGGGCTGGTGTCAAAAGTGGGTGGTGGGCTGAGCCCCCAGGGAGCTGTGCCTCCCGCCAGGGTCAGGGCAGCCAGAGCCAAAGGTGGGCTTGAACTGGACACCACCTCTTGTCCAGGCAGCCCCCACAGGCTGGGGCTCTGGCCCAGTTATTCCTCCCCTCAGGCAGGGCCTTAGCTGGGGCCAGGCGACACATTGCAGCCAGCTCCCCCTCCTGGGAGGGTCGCTACCCACCTGCAACCTCAGGTAAGCCACCAGGGTGCCCTCGGTGACTTCAGAGCCCCGTGATGGGTGCAGGCGGCACTGCCTGCCCCGACCCGTACCTCCTCCCCCCTCTGTCCCCACCCCATGGGAGGGTGAGGCGCCCAGTCACTCTGGGAGGAGCAGGGCCTATCCAGGCTGCTCCTGGCAGGAGCTCAGGGGCTCAGGGCGCAGGCTCTCCCTAACGGGCCCCCAGGGCAGCCCAGGCCCTGGGGCTGGGCTCCCATATCCTGGTAATATCAGCCCAGTTCCTGCTCCTAGGCCGAGTCCAAGGGCTCTCCAACCAGGGCCAGCAGGGCACGGCTGCGTGACCACAGAGAGCGTCACCCTGCGGGCTCCTGTACTGACGAGCGGATGTTGAATAAAAAGCAAACAGATAAGGCAGGCTGGGACTGGGGCCTGGCCCCCTGCGCTGCCTGCGGCACACACTGAACTGCCCCGCATGGCCGGGCTGTCAGGCGCCTTGGCCCTCCCCTGGGCAATGGGGAGGGAGCTTTGGGAGGACGGGAGGACTGTGCCTTGTCTCTGTGGCCCTGAAAGCTTGTGGTCAGGTGGTGGTGGCCACCTGAATTGGGCTGGGGGCACAAGTCCTCAGTCCCCACGGGGGGTGAAGGGGTCAGGAGGCCCTGAAGCACAAGTCCAATGGCCTCTGCAGACAGATGCACCCAGAGCCAGGGTCCAGCAGCTCAGGGCTAGAGGAGGCTCTGGGCCCTCCAGGGAGCAGCAGGACCAGGGAGGACCAGGGCAGGCCCCATGGGTACCCAAGGGGCTTGAGCCCAGAGCCAGCTGGGAGAAACTGGTAGAGTGAGGACCAAGAGTGGGGTGGGGACGGGCCCTGATGTGGCCTGAGGGCGAGTCTGGACAGGGCTGGGGGAGCTGAGCTGATCTGAGAGTCCTGGATGCCCGGCCCTCACCGCACAGGGCTGGCGAGCCTGCCAAGCCACCTGG